AGTGGTTGGTGGCTATCGCTATGATCACTAGGTAGTTGAGCTCCGCGAGCAGAGATTGATTCGAGAATCAGATACGTTTCTGTTGATAAACCACCGGATGTGGGTGCGGGACTTGATTAGTGACACTTAAAACGTTTAACATATGCCTCATTTGCAGATAAATACTGAAATATTCGTGATAGGTACCGCTTAGATCCCTAAGTGAAACGAAAGAAATTTCGCTAACGAAACGGGAAACGCTGAAATGAGTGGGAAGGCTCAGATGTCTAAAAAAAGCGAGAATGTGACTGATGAAACGGAATACAGTGCGAAACTCATTGTGCCGACTTCAGCAAGGGTCAGTGAAAAGCTGATGCAAGAGACAAATGCGTTACGGCAGAAGACTGATACACAGGAGGCAAACCGTTCTAAAGCGACGACGAAGGCCCAAATCCGTGAGATCGCACCATATACGTGTTGCAGCAGTGATGTGCATGCGTAAAATAACATGCATTTAAGAAACTTGAGAAATTACCAACACCGGTGTGAACGAGGTGTCAAGTGACCCTCCATGAAGCAAAAAGTCAAACTCTGAGTCTCGATCAGAAATCTATTATTCATGGAATACAAGCTCATTTTATACCTCCCGTCAATTAGAACCACGCACAAACACAGATTCTTGCTATTTCATTCTCGACCCGAGTTCGAGTTTCGTTCATGTCGATCTATATCGATTGCGTACTATCCTTCAGTTTGCTTCTTGTACCGATCGATCATCTTACAGAATGCGGGCACGAAATCGTTTAGTCCGGTCGATGGCTAAACAACTGGCAAATAAGTGTGACACCTTACCACCACAGCATCTCTAGTCAACAGCATTTCCGGCGCCCATGGCATTATTTCCTTTTTGGTTTTCTCGAATGGCGTTACAGTGTGTTCCGTATTGCCTTCCACTTCGGGTGCTTTTAATGTATTGGGCTTGGATAGCAATACTCTGCGGGTTTTTGTTGTTGATCCTCACTTTGCGGTGTCCACTCATGACGCGCTCTCCTCAGTTGCACCCGATTCCTTCGAAGGATATTGCCCCCAACCTTGAATACATAGCTTCTCTCCCTTCCGGTATTCGATCAATCCCTTCCGCCAGTATTCTTAGGATTCCGGTACTGGCTGTACCCATACTTCTTTTCCCGTAGCTAGTGGTGGGAGGCTTTTCGATCCTCCATCATAGTACTGATTTTGCTTTAACATTCTGTTCCGTAGTCGGTCGTGAAGAACATCAGCCGACGTTATCTCGGGCTGCAGTGGAGTTGTGGTGCGGTCGGTATTAGCGTTCTTTTTGGGCGACTGAATAGACGCTGTGTAGGACTCGCTTCGATACAAATAGATGGCCTGTTCATCCGATGCAGTAGGATTATGTAATAATTTCCCTGGGTCAAATTGGGCTTTTTAAGCACTTTTTCGCCTCCACTGCGGACTCAATCTTTTCGTTTGATTGGCTATAGTATGGGCTGGTTAGCCGGTGACGAAAATCCCACATCTTGCTGCAAGCATGAAACTATGCACTATTAAATTAAGACCTGTTGCTGGAAATCAACACCTCGGGTATTCCATGCCGAGCGATTTGGCACCGTAACTTGTTCATCACGGATTGAGTACTAGTCGTTGTAAGCGCATCGATCTCGAAGTAGTCACTAGAATAATCTACCCCAATCTAATAGTTCCGTCCATTGTGATCAAAAATGTCCAGTGCAATCATCTGCCAGGGTCTGTCAGGAACGTCACGGAGCATCATCGGTTCTTTTGGCCGGCGTACGTCGTGTGTCCTGCATGCCACACAATTGGAGACGTAGTCACGTATTTGGCTGATCATTCCGGATCAGAACAACAGCTCTCTAACACTTGCCACGCAGTTGGTAGTTTCTAAATGTGTACAATGTATCAACTCCAGCATCGAACGTTGCATTGCTTTTGGAACTACTATCCTGTTACCTTTGAATATTAATCCATTCAGGGTAATGAGTTGGCTGCGAAAATGCAAAAATGGAGTCAGCTTTTTAAGTAGCTTCTTCGGACCATCCGGTCATTATTGTGTGCTTCAGTAGCCTGCATAGTTCGTGTACCGTTGCAGCTGCTGCAAGCGTTCCTTGGTGACGGAGATCAACCCTGCTACCTTTCCGGGCGTCTGACAGCGTGTTCGAAATGTGCGTCTGGGATCCTGGCCGGTAGATAACCTCTAGGTCATACTTCTGCAAACGAATTACCATCCTTTGCAGACGGCGTGGAACAACATGGAGCGGCTTACTGGCGATTGATAGCAGGGGCTTGTGGTCAGTAAAGACGGTGAATTTGAGGCAAAACGTATAGTCATTGGAACACCCCATGGCACAGACCAATGCAAGCATTTCTCTATTTGCGCGTAACAATGCTCGGCATCTGTCAGCGTCCGGCTGCGAAAGTCGATAGGGTTACCGTTCTGCATGAGTACGGCTCCGATACCAAATTGACTACTGTCACACTGAATCTCGATCGAAAGTGCTGGGTTATAGTAAGCGAGAACGGGGGCACTCGTGATTAATTCCTTTATTCTCTGAAATGCTCTCTCCTGCTCCGGGCCTCAATGCCACTTCTCACACTTACGCGTCAGTTTCCCAATCGGTACCATTACATCGGCTAATTTGGGCAAGAAACAACTTAGGTAATTCACCATTCAAATTCAGCCCGCTAATGGCTTTCACGTCAGTAGGAGGAGGCATCTGTTTGATGGCCCTGACTTTCTCTGGGTCTGGTTTCAGTCCTTCGGAGCTTAGCACGTGTCCATGAAACACCACTTCCGTCATGCGCAATTTGATCTTCTCACGTTTTAGCTAAATGTTGCTTTAAAAACAGCACTGCAAAAAGCGATCGACGTTCTGGTCGTGCTCTTCTCGCGTAGCGCTAAAAATCAAAAGGTCGTCTGCTACACAGAACGTTCCTGGTAAATCGTCTAAATCCTTCATCAGTCGTCTCTAGAATATCTCACTAGATACCTTGAGTCCAAACGGTAGACAAAGCCAGTGGAAACGCCCGAAAGACGTCCCAAATGTGGTCAGATAGCTTGACACTTCGTCAAGCAATACATGCCAAAACGCCGAAGCAAGGTCGGCTTTTGTGAATATTCTAGTTCTGGATAGCACCGGAAATAAGTCGTCTAGCGTATAATGGTCTCTTCTGAGCGCGGCGTTAAGTGATTTTGGATCAATACACACGCGTAGTTCTCCAAATTTCTTAGTGAAAATAGCCACCTGGCTAACCCAATCTGTCAGTTGCTCAACTTTGGCTATTACACCCAAACTGGCAAGACGCGGCGGTTGATATTAAAACTTTTCACGTAAGGCGATAGGCACCTTTCTGGTCGGAAACACTACCGGCTTAGTGCATTCAAAACAAAGATAAATGAACACACGCTTGGAATCTCCCTACGACCCTGTCAAACAGGTTCCGGTGCCTGTCCACACTATCTATGTCGGCTTCACACGAATGGACAGAACGTTCGTGGATAAAAGAAACAAAGCCGAGCCACTGAATAGAATCAAGGCCAAAAATAGGCATAAGGTCTCCAGAGACTACCAAGAAATCCAGTTGGTGCTCTGTGTCGTTTCCCGGATTGGTGGCTTTCAACGCAGCGGTACCTTTCGGTCGCAGGTTTGAACCATTACACATTCTGAGTCAATTCTGCATTCTGTCGCATGTCGCTCCCAGACAGTGCTTCTCAGGTAAAATGTTGACAGTAGGCCATGAGTTTAGTTGGAAGCGCACCGGTCGTCCCCGAATCAAAAGCGTCACGAAAACACACGTTCTCCACGATTTTTCAAGTTGTTTATCCAAAATTCCTACATCTGTCCCTTGACGTTCTCGATCACTGAGCTGACCGAAGCGCATCTGCAACAGCGAGCAAAGTAATTCTTGCTGGAACATTTGTACATGTTAGAGCCCAAGCTGAGCAACTCTCCTCTCTTTTAGGGTATATATGAGCGCAAAACTGACAACTTGGATCCTGTCCCACGGGTGTCTGGGGCAGACTATTGTTCGTTGGTGATACCGCGCATACACCGGGGTTTGCTTTCGCTCTCACATGCTCGAAATGTTGCACCGTCCTTGCTTCACTCAGGCAGATGTCTACACATTGTTTCAAAGATAGGTTCCTTTTTCGCAGAAAGTGCCGAGTGAGCTCACCATCCTATATGTCGATGACAATGCGATCACGTATCAATGACTCTCTCATGCAATTGCGGAAGTTGCAGTTACGAAAAAAAAGTTTCGGTTCTGTGACGTAAGTTTTTTACGATTCGCTTGAGGATCGATTGCGACCAAGAAATAAATGTCTCTGATAGGTTTCATTTGCCTGACCTTCGCAAAACGACCTAAATCTTCTCATCACTTCCGAAAGCTCGAATTCCTCATTTGCCTCACTCAGCTCATGTGTCGAGCATCCTACTAGCTTCATCGCCCACAGCAGGCCTGAACATCGCAAACTGGCACGCCATCGGTTGAGTATCCAACTGGGTCAGCGTGACGAAATCCATCCAGTTTGTCTCCCACATTCCTCAGTTCTATCAGCTTGCATTCAGTCATCTGCAGAGCGGTCGGCCGTGGGATCAATGGCTATCCACCAAAAAGAAGCGGGTTCCGGCGCTTCGGCTTCTTCTCCTCATTCGCCATGTCAATGGACCCTGCGTGAACTAAATAGTCAAAGTCTGGAGCTCGATCAGAAATTTATTATTCATAGAATACAAGCTCATTTTATATCTCGCGTCAAGTAGAACCATGCACAAACACATATTCTTGTTATTTCGTTCTCGAACCGCGTTCGAGCTCCGTTCATGTGGATCTAAATCGATTGCGTACTTTCCTTCAGGTTGCATCTTGTAGAGATAGATCATCTTTCAGTGATGGCCCGAAATCGTTTAGCTCGATCGATACCTAACTGGCAACTAAGTGTGGGATCTTACCACCTCAGCATTTCCAGCCAATCAGCATCTCCGGCCCCATCACACGAGATCAACTCAAAAAGAGAGCAAATCAGATCAGACCTGGTCTGAAGAAACCCTTACGTCAAAAACCTGGCTGTGAATCCTCTCAGAGAAATTGGTGAGATTGAGTCCGATACATCCTAACAAGAAAGAAAGCACAGTGAGCAGTGTACGAATGTATGCTGAAATGCACCCAAAAATATGGAAATATGTACACAAAATCAAGGTGGATCAAGATGGACGCATGAAGAGGTGATGGGTAGCAAAAGTTTACGGTGGCTGTTCTATCTAATCGCCTCCTTCCGAAGTGGGCAACGGATCGACCTGGGGCTCGCATGGAAGGATGTCGCCCATTTTTGCATGACGTAGGAAATAGTACAATGCCCTGAAAGGAAAAAAACAGATGATGGATATTAACAACGCTAATTGACCACGTGTGACGGTATAAAAGCATGAAGTTGATAATACCCTAAACGTAGTTCAATTCAGTTCAACCGGAAAAACATGATCAGAGCACCGAAGTGCGGTGGATCCAGTTACCATCGTTCAGAAAGGATAGATGAGGGTAATCTGGCCTAGAAGCCAAATTTTGTTTCTATAAAGTGAGCCCATGTCGAATCTGTTACAAAGTTGGACGCAAGACAGCAAATTCCCACGGAGGTTCAGGTGATTATGCAAATGTTAATGTCGCAGTGGACCAGCTAAACGATTCTCCGAAATGTTTCATCCAACGATCTAACCGATGTGTGAGCCATTTTTTCACTAACTCATAACTTCATTAGACCCATACTTGCGACTGATTAACGCTTTTTACTGTCGAAATCCATTGCAAACCTTTCTTAATGGGTCAGTGGTACAGGGCAAACCGTAATTTTAGGAAGAAATTCATCACATCTAGGCTCACTCAGACAGCTGTCACACGCCCGGAAAAGCAATGTACGCGCGTTTCGTCCTTTCGGGAATCGTCAGCAGTGCGCATTCCATCGGGCCCTGGTTGGGCTCGAACCCGCAACTCGGTTGTTGCCAGTCCGTGGTTGAGACCACTGAGCTACGGGGGACGGCAACGACCATCGTGAATAAGTTACTAGATGTGATATAGCGCTGAAAGGATGAAACGCGCGTACAGTGTTTTGCCGGGCGTGTGACAGCTGTCTGAGTGAGCCTAGATGTGATGAATTTCTTCCTATAACATTCAACTCTACCTACTACTCTTCTGTAAACCGTAATTTCTTTGTGTGGGTTCACTGAAGCGATGATGGTCTGGGTAAGCAGCTGTGACCCTAGAACCATCGCAGGCGGATGGAACTGCTCGTGGGTACAGTGTATCTTAGTCTCCTGAGCCTGTTATTTGGAGTGGCTACATCACGTTTGAAACCCCAAGAGATACACCCATTTTCTACTCATGGGTGCTTTCAATTGTCCTCGACCAGGATGCTCTGAAGCTCAATTTATTCCCGGACATTGTGAGCTGTTCCCAACGCATCTATCCTATCGCATTTCAAGTGCCATTGTAGATGGAAAGTTTCCAAGAAAATGCAATGAGGCTAGATAAAATAACGATTCATGAACACGTAAAAAACCTGAAGCTAACTACGGTGTTTCACCTAAACTCTTGGACATCAAGAAAGGTGATCCACTCTACTCGGAAGAATCAAACAAGGCGGATAAATGGTTTCGATGAACATCTTATGGGGTGTTACAAATCGGTGTGCGCCTCAACCACTTCGGATGTCAGCGACAGCAGACAAATTAAGTAGGTTCCATACTGCGGTTTCGTAGATAGTAAGCTAAGCTGATGAGTAAGTTCACTTGTATCTGACAGTTCATCCAGGTCGAAATGGTGGTCGGTAGATGTACAAACGAAAGGTGTGATTCAAGTTGCGTAACCTGAAGCGCTGCACTTGATTTCATTGGCGGCTTTTCTGGACAGACGCCAGCTAACACGATGCGAACGTCTGGCCTAGGAAATTTGCTGTAGAGAAAAACATACATTAACATACGGTTGAAGGCATTAGCTTTTACTATCGGTACATTACGTACTCGGGTGATGACAAATAGCTAACTGGACATGCTTGCCGCAAACAGAAATAACTGCAAACGATTAGCGCTAAAATTAGTCAATGCGTTGGACCTACTTCTTTCACTGTGAACCCGGTTGAAGCGTACATTCCCTGCGAGCGCTAATCCCAGCCGAGACCGGAAAACAGGGACCGTGACACAGAAACATGTCGTGGGAAGATAACCGACACAATTACTCTGGTTGTGAAGATTTGTCGCAGTTAAAATCAGGCAGGAAACTACCAGATATCCAGGAAATCGCTAAGTAGCGCGCATCCGCCAAATCCCGCTGGGTTCGAGCCAACGACTTTACTGTTACGAGCCAGTGGGTGGCAGCAGTTGACCGCCATGACTGATCTCTAACTGCGAAATAACGCGACTCATCTTCCACTGTCATGTAGAATAGGAACGTGCAGATGACAGAGCTGGCACCCTGAGCTGCGACTTCTTTCGTAAGCCCTCAACAATGGGGTGGCATGTAGGCTACTAAGGTGATTACTTATTATCATTGAGTAGTAAGGGGATATATTTGGTTGTGGCGAAAATTCGTCTCGGTGCTTTCCTGGGTATGTGGTGGATATCTGATCGAGCCGGGCTACGACAAATCCTCACAATAACCCAATAAATCTTCCTACTATAAACAAAAAATAAATCGCCAGCTTTACGCCGTAACGGCGCTTTGCTGCCGCGCGACCACCAACAGTCGAGCGTGGGCTGAGCATACCGCGAGGACGCCCGCCCCTACGCGGATTCGAACCGGTGACCTTATGGTTGCAAACCAGACGCCCATACTACTCGGCCACCGGCGGACAAAAAAATCCCCCTACTAGTCCCTAAAAATTAGGCTGAAATCAATGCAATCTAATGATGCCCACCTTCTAGAACAGCTGGTCACCCGTTAAGATTGAGAGTGTAGAGCTACTCCGACCAATGTGGAGCCAGGTGCATGCGTCGAGTAACCGAGTTGATTGTTCCTGACACGACTGGATGCTGCTGCTTTACATTATCATTTAAACCGTATTTCCGATGAAGTCATAGGTTTTCACGGGAGACTTTACTTTCATGCTGAAATCAGGTGTTTTAAGTGATCAAAAAACACTCAGTGGAGAAAAGTGTAAACCGAAACAAAGAAAACGTTCATGCCTTTCCTATCGCATACAGTTAATTCTAGATGTTTGAATTTGAGTAGGTGTTCCTAATCCGCAACGAATGGTGGTGGTCCCGCAACATCGAGCCGTCGGTACGACGTGGTGGCGTACTGCTGATGATTTATGGAACAATTCAGGTGGACATCTGGCATTTTCGCTGAATGAAGCCGAGATACGGCAAGTAAATGTGGTAAACGGCTCGGAGTCCCTAAAGGCTGCAAGAACATCACCACGGTCGTCAAGACTACGACCATTGCGATGACGGCTGGCAAATAGAGTGAGTGATTTGCGGTTTCAGAATACTTGATCAATTCGGCAGAATATTTCCTTGCAAAACTCAACCATAACCATACCACAGGACGAAACAATGGTCTCTATTGAGGTAACGACGTTGTTCATATTGATCAACGTCAATTTGCCAAAACAAACAATGACCGTCTTACTAGAGGAGCCTACATCGTCCGATGTAAATGGCAGAATCAGTGCCAGACAAATTAAACTATGTTTAAGAACACAGTTCATTTTCAAAAGTTAATTTACAAACAGACAAGAGGCACACCAATGGGATCACCGATCTCTAGTGGTAGCCGAGGCGGTGATGCAGAGCACCGGAACAGATAGCAGTCCCAGCCGCAAAACCGGAACTTTGGATACATTAAGTAGACGACACTCGTCCCTCCCAAGCATGCCTAATTAGATGAGACGCGAACTAATCAATAGAACTTTCGATGGCATCCAATTCACCAGGGAAAAAGAGAACAACGAACAGTTACCATGCATAGACCTTTTCATACGAAGGATTGGTGTTGGATCACTGGAAACGACAGTTTATCGAAAAGCAACGCAATCAGACTAAATCGTCAACAAAGGCAATCATGGGATAGTGCACAAGCGCAGCTGCGTACGAATCCCTTTCAAACGATCACAAACGCATCGTAGCACACCACAGCTGAGGCAGGCAGAGGCAGTCCGTTCAAGCGGAAATCGTAATCAAAAGTTTTCAGCCAGTGATACAAGACATCACCTAAGACAACATGAAACACCTTAAGAAATGCAACAGTTGAAAAGAAACGTGTTGTCACATGTCAACGGAATTTCAGAAGTAGCAGAGACTTTTATTGCCTTTTGGAGTCGAAGTTGCACACCAACTAACGGAGACCATTTGTAATAAGCTATTCAAAGTGGAAGATAAGCTCAGCAAAGGGGAGACAACTGGTGGGATCAATAATTTCTGCTGCAGAAATTGTGAAAAATAATATGTGGGGCAGACAGGAAGAAAACTTGACACAACGCCACATGAACACAGCCTTGTCATTCTTCGCCAAGATTAGAACTCCCTGATGTCCGTATATAAGGATGCCGAAGAGTACCAATACCACCTGGAGAAGGCTACAATCCCAGAAAGTCAAAAAGCCGACAAGTACGTGGGTTCATTGAAGCCTGGCATTCTAATCAGATTTCGATCAAAAAGCACTTGGATCTCGAAGTTAGTGACGAGGCGCTGCAAACCAAATCGTTAAAGCCGCGCTGATGATGTTGCTTAGGTTAGTAACGAAAGGTGCGCAGACTGATCATTCAGCTCGAGGAACAACTCAAAATCCATATAGGGCAAGTGAGTTCCAGAGACCGCAAGCTGACCCCGCTTGCTCGTGTTGACAACTCTAAGGTGGCCCCGATTATATTAGCGTAAAATGACTACCTGTTCATTTTTTTAAAATGTTGTTCGCTGTCCAGACATTGGTTTGCATGGTGGAGAGCTACAGGACAGCCCTGTAGCCGAAAGCGCGTTAAAATGCACAGTTTGGAGACAAGGCACACTTCAATCCTGAGGGAGTTGGATAGTAACACTAACAAGGGGAGTAAACGTTCAATGAAGCAACGTAAAAGGAGGGTATTGAAGTGAAAAGCGGTTCTAATAAGTGGTTAACGTAGATCGTAAGGCTAGCAGGGTAATCCGGATGAAGTGATTTCCAATAGATCAGGGGAATAGGAAAAGAAAAGTTCTCCAACAGCACATTGTGATAGATGAATTTGTCCGATAATCTACACCTAAACTGTTCGACTAAATCGCATGATCCACAACGTAGATCGAAATGTGATTACCGAGTCAAATGAGAATGTGCTTAAACTTGGCGAAACGCCGTGTTAGGGGTTTCAGAACAATTTGTGCATTAGGGACAAACGTGCAATTACAGTCAACCGTAGAGAGGCTTGCAGCTTAATTACCGAGAGTATCTGACCTGGTACAGGCGGCAGAGAGCAACAGGTAACAAGTCTGGTATTACAGGTGCAGAAGCACACATACCGGTAAAATTCTGCTCCCCATGATTGGATGTCAGGGAAAGAGAAACTGAACGGACAAGCTTAGCCAGGGGAGCTGGAAAAACAGGTGAAAGAAAGGGGACATGCGTAGACTGATGAGAAGAGGAAAGTACAAAACGTACTTGGCAGATTGTTTCTTAGGAAATGCGGTGCGTTCGATGGCTCCAGAAGGCAAACAGATATCATGGACGACTGACTCTTCGCTAGACACACCGTAGGTGACTAATCGGGGAAGAAACTGTGACTCTGCTTCAACAACCGGAGATTGATATCGCCTCCAGTCTCCACGAGATGCGATCAGGTAGGAGACAAGCTCTGTTTTTGGTTCACTGTCATCCTAAGGTGAAAGCAAAATGCACGCGTCATTCACTGATAGTAAGGGGACATGAGAACTCGTTCAAAAACCTCTCATCTACGTTAAGTGTTTACCAAGTGTTAGGCAACAATGACTGCAACAAAGGATCTAATAAAGGTGTGCGCAGACGAGACACAGTTGAGATGCATCAGGAACCAACTAAGCTGTACCTCGATAAGTAACACAAAGCTTCTTTATACCAATTTGATCAAGAAGTGTGATGTCCCTTAGAAAGGGCATCAGTAGTACGCCGGTAAGCAGTGCCGGCGCTTCGCTGTCGCGCAACCAACACCGGGCGCACGTGGGCCAAGGATACCCAGGTGCCTACGCAGTCCCGAACGCGCGCCCTCACATTGCAAAGCAGGCACGTGCTCCTTAAGGCTACGGGCCGACAGTCATGTCCCTTGGGTACCTGCAGAATAGCAACATAAGAAAATTAATAAGATCAACTAGAAGGGGAGACTCGCAGACGCAAACAGCGGTAGGTCGATGGCTTGGAGAAGAATATTGTGAACCTCAGAGGCCTCAGAACAACAGGCGGGTGATTTTGCATGCACAGAGTCGAGCGTTGCCGATTAACAGGCCTATGTCGGCAAACTTAGGCACTTTGGCTCTTCATTTAAATAGGAAAGTATAAACAACAAGTCGAGATTGACAGTTCATTTCAGCTCAGTTGAAGGACAATGATCCGAGCACCGATGTGTGGTGGATTCAGTTGCTACGACTCACATCGCAAGAACGACAAAAAATAACGACGGCAAGATAGTGAGGATGTATGCAAATAGAATGTGAAAAAGTGGAAGCAGTAAGGAGCGTTAGACTAGCCAAAATGGAGCGAGAATTAACAAATAGATGCAAGAAACCGAAGGTGAGAACACAACTGACTGCGACACGCTGAATATGGTCTCTAGCCATCGGTGTGGACCATACCGGGGTCCACATCAGAAAGACGGCACGCACCAGCTTGACCAAATCTTTCAGATAATTTCTTCGAGTTTCTATGCCATGTAATGGGCTGGCCAACTCGCAGTTTTGCCCAACGTGGTGTATAATGCACGTTGAAGAAGTCGATTAACGGAGAACAGGGTCTAACCGACCCGTAGCATTAGGGATCACAAGTCGGCCTTGCAATCCGAGGGTTCGGGTTAGAGCTTGCGAAGGGAGCAGGCCACCCTCGAATTATCCTTAGCCACTGTGCAACTGTTGGTGATTGCGCGGCTGCGAAGTATCGATACTGCGTACCGGCGCAATGCTGAGGAGTGAGATAAGTCTATGGTGGGTGCAAACGGGAACATTTGCTGTAACCGCGCTGGAGATTAACAGCGAGTTTGATGACCAGTAGAGTTTCGCTGTTGATTGTGTAAGGTTCAGATATGAATGTACACCGAGCCAATCATAACTATGGAATTTGGAATTAAAAATTGTAAACACAAAGCTTGAAAAGTGAAAATTACAAAAAATACGTCAACAAGTTTGCGTTTCTTTCCAGACTCTATTTGCACGTTTTTATTTCCAAAGGAAGCGGCAATAACGGTTGGCCTGAGTCATGGACATTAGTCCGACAAGGTGGCTGCAGAAGCAGTTAATCAGTACGTTCGGGTCTCCTGGGATTTCAGAAACACCGCTGTTAAATTGTGGAACTGTTGTAGTTTGCGTCGTGTCTTCCCTTGCGATTGAGCTTGGGTTGTTGGGAAACAGCATGGTGGTCTCGGTGTTGTTTGTAGGTTAATCGTAACCAGATTCAGTTAGACGACCCATACACGTTCAGAAAAGCGATGAATAAACGATTCGCCCCGTACTCGGCCGGGCTCGAACCCATGGCTTTCCTCCAGTGGATTTGCGATTTAGGCCAGTGAGCCGTGAGTAAAGATCATGAACAGACAGGATGGAGTGTTAGCTGTGGTGTTGCATTGATCGGATCCAAATACCAACTACACGTTTACAGGTAAACCACCACAAACTTTCTTGTGACTGGCACTTCTTTTTGCGGGAGGAAGGTGTACAGTCATTGATCGGAGCACGCATAGCGGCGAAATGTCTATGAAGTGTAATTTAACGGCAGCTAGGAGAATTGCTTGCTTCCTTGCACTTGCGCACAAGAACGGAACATCAAGTTGTTCAGAAATCGTGTATTATTTCACAACAAGGAACTATGTTTTGTTTCGAAATAACCCCTAGCTACAATCCGAACGCTGTGTTTTGTGTTTTAACACATCTGTTCCTGTCACGTGTTGCATACATCCGCATCATACACGTCAGCTAGAGATGGAAAAGACCTCAGGTATTGTGCCGCTAGACATTAGAAAAGAAAAAAATGCAACAAAAGCACGCCGGCTGAGGCACCGGTAACAGATGGATATCGTTCCGGAGAGCTAACAGCTGGCCACGGTGCAGCAAAAAATGAGTTACCTTAAGCTTAGTAAATGAGATCGTGGTTGGAGGAGAAGGCTGAGCGGGAGAGTGGGACAAAGAAGCTCACAACACGAACGCCACTGAGGTTGGCTCCTGGCCATATCAACAAGCGTATCCAGTTAAATGTACTCATCGTGCTTCGGTCCCCAATCGCGGAGTCGAGAGACTCCAATCGAGGCCAATTTCGAAGTAAGGGCCTTCATTCCTCTTGACCAAGACAGCCTAGCCACTTCTCCGCCTCTTGCAGCCACAAACCTACACCACTCGGGCCTCCACATTCTTATTTCATCAAATGTGTATCCAACTGTACGACATTTGGTTCTGGTGTGTTTTCTTCCTCGTCTTCGCTCAATCGCCCAGTGTTCATTGTGTCAATACACCTTGTGTTGTGGCATTCCCTTCTGTACTCTCAAGTCGGAAGTATGCAGGCGTTCAATCCTACTCTGAGAGTCATAACATAACTGTGGCAGAGCGCGGCGTACACATCCATCCCCATATGTTTTACGACCGTGCAGAAGATAGACTGATCCCCAGAGTTTCCTAGTTAGGGGGAAATTGGTCCATTATATTAAAGGCGAGTTCAGGAAATTCCTGTTGGTTAGAGAAGCAATGAGATTTCCGGTGTTTTGAAAAGGTTCACCGTGGAATTCGTCTAGAACAGATTTTGTGAGAAGAGTAAAGTAGGCCAGATGAAATTGACAGAAACTACGAACACAGTGAAAAAACCGCAGCACACTCGAAAAATGATTGGAAAAATAGGTTATTAGCTGGGGGTCCATCAACAGTGATGAGCAGAGAAGCAACATCGGCGTACATTGGCCCATAGCATCGTCGAGACGGAGCTTCGAGAAGAAATACCCGATAAATGTGGTACAAATTGTGCCAACTATTGTGAATAATAGGAGCCACCTTACAGAGTTAGTTAGAGGAGATGAATGCACTGCGAAGTTGATCGAAAGAAGGAGCCGCGTTTAGAGACCCAGGCGAGGCTATTAGAATTGAAAAAGTACACTGTGTGAGAACGCGCGATTACATAAAGAGCGACCTTAAGCAAGTGAATCGGTAGGAGAGTTTATCTTAAGATAAAGCATCCTAAGTGCTAGCTCGTGAAGATTTCAAAAAAATACCCCACGATTCCGACAACTGGTGAAGGCGGATAGGATAGTAATCTCTTTGATTGGAACTTAAGATACCTCGGCCAAACGCTCGGTCGAGCTGAGGAGAAGCCGCTATCGACTAAGAGTGGATCGCCAAGTCAAAGAAGATACATAATGACGGCAAAGTTGATGACGCTTAAGAATCGAAGATATTGCAATCGTGTGTATAAAGGCGGTGGCAATCATGTACCATTGCTGGTCACCGAGATATGCGAAAGCCAAGTTCTATCCTAACACCTATCTTACATATTCGTTCTAGGAGTGGTCACAACATTGCTTTTAAATGCAAAAAATATGAATGAAAAAATGATAAGATCACAACCCTTGAACCAAGGATTCAAGGGGCATAATTGGTGTAAACAGGTGAGAGTTGATGGGATTAACAAGGACGCAACTCACCCGGGTCAATGCAAATTTGTAATACTGTACGCTGATGTTACATGCTGAATCAGCCTTGCCACAGGAAAAACTATGTGGGCACTAAAACGGAAATAGGAAAAAGTGTGAGAGATAATATAGCACAAAGAAGCTGTAATGAATTTGAAAAATGGAGGATGGCATAACCAGCACGCCGGGACACCGTACTGCCGGTTCGATGCCGCGCCACCGCCCATCGTGCGCGCAAGTCACATTGCTAGGTCGCCCGCAACTACCCAGATTTCAAACCAGCTAGATGGCTCAGGATTATCCTCTTCTAGTCAAAAAATAGGCTGCAGCGTTCCAGAATGTAGTGGATTCTCGCTTGACAAGCGAGCGCCTAGTAAAAAGTTACAAACATCTGATTAGAGGGTCATTTTTAAGTACACGTTGTGTGACTGGATCATGACGCGCAATTCGCATTGAAGCGGACTTTGGTCCACTCGAGCACTAGGGCCATAGCTAATGACATGACAAATGTGATTCGCCACTAAATAAACTCACTACCCCTTGTTTCGCCCCGAGGAACCATTGGATTTCAGAGTTGAGACACAAATTGAAAAATCGATCACTGACCCCCAATGGGCGCTATCCATTGACTTCGCTCCGCTGCGTTGCGAGTAGGCCATTCAGCCAAATGTTCCGGATGGTATTCGTAAGTGAACTCCTTGGTTCTGCTTGGACAAGCGGATAATACTACGCACTGAGAGGGAACCAAACACTGCTTTGTGCTATCCTCGACTTTTTTCTTAAAAGGACTGTACCTCTCTTCGAGTTCAACGATTTTTGACGGCTGCATGTCTGCTCTCAGACACTTATAGCTAGTTTAAATAAAGCAGAGACAACGAAAGCTGGCAAATGTTGGCAGTTCAGATAGTTTCGTCAGTGCCAATACAAGAATAGAAACAAATATACAACCGCGGCGAGGTTGTGGGTGAATAAGATATATATATATATATATATATATATATATATATATATATATATATATATATATATATATATATATATATATATATATATATATGGCTGGCGGCATCCGGTTTCGGATTTGCCTATCATTGTGGCCAGAAACAGGACGCCTGCGCCTACATGGTTGGCTTGCGCCGCAACACCCACAGCGCCATCCACACACACCATATGCAGTGTAAACCCGAAGGAATAAGACTGGGATGCCTGTGGATGGGAGCCACAATCCCTAGGAATGCGCGAAGATAGCGAATTAAAAATAGATTTCCAAAGCACACAGCTGGTAGCATTTGGTGGTGAGTATCCATTGCTATTGGAAAGAGCATTGAAAATATTGATCCCGTTCGCAATAACTTTGAGACGTGAGAGTAGATTTTCGACAATGGAGACCAAAAGCAAGGCATCGAATGAACTTGGAGTACGACTTACGATATGCATTAGCCGAAAGTGTACGGATTAGACCAGAAATTGTTAGTGCTAAGCAAAATCAACCAGCTCATTGATGTATATCGTCTCCTGATTGCATATGTGGAATTAAAATAACAGTTTTCTTTCTTTTATTGACCGAGCTTAATTCCAAATGGCTAACATTTCCCGTACTCAGAAGGGAAAAGTACCATAGTTATCCGTTAGTTAGAGCTTGAAACGGAAATTATGGGGGGTGGTGATTACAGTGAATCCGAGTTGTGAGTAACAACTGCGGAACACCTGTTCTAATGTGGCCGATAACATCATGACGCAGAGTTCAAGTCAAAAAGGTAACTGTTTGCATTGAACGCAAAATATGTTTAATACGCCATCTTCTCATACTTTGGTGCAACAGAACTTTGTCAAACCGTACTTGTGGACCGTACTTGTGGACACTGGTCGAGTGACACTGCGTCGGAATTTCTTGTAGAATATTCCTCAACGTGTCTGACTAGACGATGTGTTGTGCACAAACACGCTCCCAGAAAAAGCGTGAGAGTTGTACAATGATCAATTTGAGGGGGCGGAACATATTCTACGAAATGCAGAATGAGTGACATTAGTAGTACGAAGGCCCGCCCTGGCGACACTTCACTGTCAGGTAACCACCGGCGATTGCATACCGGTTGGAATACTGAGGCAAAAAGCTTGATCCCTTATTAAACAGCGAAATGTCCACGGTGAAGCACACGACATTGGGAGTCACTGGAAGTTACTGGCGTCAAAAGTGCAACAAGGAAGTCCAGCCAGTCACCGAAAACAGTGTCAGAAGCCAAGGAAACAAAACGCACAAGTTGCTGATCACAGTGGAAAGGCGAAAGCGCTCGTTGGAGAAGTGTAACAATGGGGCACTGGAAACCTAGCTTGCTCAGGAAAACTGGACGACTTTCAAAACTTACAGTGGTTGGTAACGGAGAATCTAAAATGGAAAAAACGCGAGAATTCCTCATAGTAAGTGATTTTCACACTCGGGATGCGTCCCAAAAGGCCGATGTTGAGGGATGCGATAACGTGTGACAAGCAACTGATATGTACTCGATCTAAGTCAAACATCTTGAGCCCAGATCCTACGTCCGTTGCTTGTAGATGATGAAATTTGTACACAGCTTCGAGTATGTAGGACAGGTGACTTTGAAAAAATCGCCAACCTCAATAACGAAACATCTGGTAGAAACGGGCCACCAGATTGACCCTGACACGAAGTTTGTAGTTATCCATAGCGACGCAAACCCCAGATAACTGAAGTTTGCCGAATCGTTCAAAGATGCGTATCCAGAACCATCAATTTTTGCACAGAAGTTCCCTTGGGCTTCGTGAATTACAGCCCCAAATCACACCTAGTGTAACACACACACTTGTCGATGAGTTCAGTTAAGACTAAATATTTATCCCGTGATCCCCTAATGGTTCCTAATTTGCAATTGTTCAGATAGTGTGACATTTGGTATCGTCTCGCAACATTCGTCCTACTGTTGCTTTACACCGAATAGTACAGGAAACTAAGTGCCCCAAATTTGTTACATATGGCCGCGACCCGGAATTTCGCTAACGCAACCAAGGCTGGGTTAGTCCAAGTTACAGAGTAGTAGGGGGAGTTGAATGGTATAGGTAGAAATTCGTCACGTCTGGACTCACTCCGACAGTCATCACACGCCCGGAAAAGCAATGTACGCACGTTTAATCCTTTCGGAAATCGTCAGCAGACGCATTCCATCGGACGCTGGTAAGACTCGAACCCGAAACTCGGTTGTTGCCAGTCCGTGGTTGAGACCACTGAGCTACGGGGGACGGCAACGACCATCGTGAATAAGTTACTAGATGTGATATAGCGCCGCTCACTATCCACTGACTTATACTTTACGAGCGTGCAGAGGACAGAGCAGCCCCTTATCAAGCGACGAGCTTACTAAAGTTAAGCCGCCAGTTAACTTATGGCATAATTAGCAGTTTGGTCTGCGTACTGGTTAGAGAAGAGTAGTAGAGGGAGTTGAATGGTGTAGGTAGAAATTCGTCACATCTAGGCTCACTCAGACAGCCGTCACAAGCCTGGAAAAGCAATGTACGCGCGTTTCATCCTTTCGGGAATCATCAGCAGTGCGCATTCCATCGGACCCCTGGTAGGGTTCGAACCCGCAACTCGACTGTTGCCAGTCCGTGGTTGAGACCACTGAGCTACGGGGGACGGCAACGATCATCGTAAATAAGTTACTAGATTTGATATAGTGGCGAAATATAGAATTACCCATTGCAACAAACTGCCTATCAGTGGGGAATATGATGCACATGGGAAAACAGCGTGAACATCAGACACAAACAAGTGAGAATGGAAGAGGGCAACAAGTTGGTTGTGTAAATAGCGAATTTTGTATCGGATCTAATACGAACGTAGCATTCATCTAGCGAACATTCTGCCAAAGGATCGATAAAACGCCGTTCTGAAGAATGTGAAACAACGCTGCAAATATTGCTCCAGCAAGGCAGTAAACCGATCGTTTGGCATAAAGAAACCGACCAGCGATGAGGGCAATGCTCAAGAAAGGATAATGGCAAAAAGAATAATAGAGATTCAAAATAAAACGGGAACAGACAAAACATCACTCGACTTACGGGTGCAAAAAGAAACATAGAATCGCCCCCATTTTCCAACTGCAAAAGAAACGGAAGGATTAAAAAACGATAGGAGAGTTTTAAAAAATACCAAAGGTTGAAGTTTGTTACAACCAGCGCCAACCATAGTGATAGACGATGCAACAAGGCAGTCACTGAGCATTGTCGATGGAGAAAAGACAAGCACTGGTGCAGTCTAAGTAAAATTCTGAGGAAACAATGCATTTTCAAGAACATTAAGCGACTGCGAAAAATTAGTCTCTACACATCTGTGGAGACGGACGCTTAAAAGTATGGCAACCAGTTTAGTAGTTACCTGAATCTCTGTCTCGATATCACTGGCCAATTGAAACTAGGTTCACGCGATGTTTTAAAAAGATGCGCGTACTCATGGAAAAAAACTTCCATAGGCAAAAACACTGGTTCAGGTGAGTCTTCACTTGTCTCGATTACATATACGCCCAAACCATATCGGGGAGCAGTAATTATGGAGAAGCATCAAATGGGATAAAACGGAAAAGCGGACTCGTCAGCGATGTGATACATACTACTCTGAAGGTGGAGGAAATAAACCTCTACTATTATGATTAAAACACTGATTCAATTCACGACTTATTACCCGCCCAATTATAATGGTCCCCAGATAAGTTATCTCCTGTTGATGGCTTACGGGAATAATCAGAATCCTAACGAGGGACGCGGTCCGGGTAGACTGTCTTCAGCCATCCTCAAGGAATGTACCGATTCCTCTGTGTGGTTCTTTGCTGAGGTGTAAACGCTATGTTTACAACAACAAGATAGCTGACCACTGGAAGAAGGCTAGCATCACACCGGTGCCGAAAAAGGAACATAAAAAATGGGTCCACTAGTTGCAAATCGATGATTTTGAAAGGACGTTGGCCCAGACATATTCAGATGAGTCATATCGTCTCTGGTGACAAGACCGAGTTCACAGGGTAGACGTTAGACGCAGCGTCCTTGGAATGCGAGTATTCTCTTCAGCAGGGTGGCTTTGCTTCGTCAGTTCAGATGGCTCGGTTACTATGTGCGCATGGTTTTTGAGAGTTGGCCGTGCCGCGCGCCATGCGTTCGTGAAGGAATGGGCTACGGGCAACCGCGTGGTAATCAACCCTCCACTTGGTGACAGCATACAAAAGCACTAACGCCGCGCATAGTCGTCATACTGACTAGAGATCCAAGGATGAGGGTGCTTGTGGCTTATTACGCGTGCATATATGGTTCGTAACCGGAATCGGTGTAAGAACTGCAGACAAAACAGTCTTGATTCACATATTTAATGCTTCGAGTACCGAAAGGGACAAAAAAGAAAACAAGTGCCCGAAAAGACATTGAAAACTCAACTTAATCTTGATACCCATGTATTGCGATAACTCCATATTTGTCCCTTAGACAGATGCATATATATAAATACATAAGATTGCTGGCAGCCAGGTCCGGATGTGCCTGTCACTGCAGCCTCCATAAGACGACCACAGGATCCCTGTGACTAGTTGGGGATAATGGGTGGTTTGCGTTGCACCACCCACAGTTCCATCCATACGCCACATATTCACTATAAACCCCAAAGAATAAGACCGGGAGGCACGTGGATGGGAGCCACGCTGCATCTACGGAGCCGGCGCATACTCCTTCAGGATGCGCAGCAGCGGCATTCCTGACTATTGGGAACCAGACGTATCAAACGTACATAAAGTAGTGGCTGCGTCGCAATCCGCTCCATACGGGATGTAGCAACTCTTTGAGCCTAGCACCTTCACGAGAACCCAGCACTCAGCATTCCCAAGCAACGACCAACCGTCTCGCGAAACCAGCATAAGATATGGAACTTGCCGCCGCATGTAGTCGAAGTAGTCGGTGTTGAAATTCAAGGACAAACACTGCTGATATTGAATATCGGAAATACTCACCAACATAATAGGTCATTGTAACCGAGGGATTTTAGATGCAACTACAAATAAATATCTCTTCTTACTTCTTCTGTACATTCAGTATTATATCGCTGTTCAAGATGCACACTAAATGCGATAGCTTGCTTTGCACATCATGTGCTATCCTTGAGCACATCAATGCTTTCGGTTGTACAAGCCTGAAATGATGCTAAGCAACCTACTTTCTCCTGAGAGATTAGGTAAGGGAAGAAAAACTCTACAGCACCCACGACGAATTTCGGTTCTTCCATTCTTATTTCCACATGCGTCAGCTCAAATCACATCCCGAAAGAAGCTATCTTGCCAATGTATTCAGATGACTCGATCCTGTAAGTCCAGCATCTAACCACAGACTCATCGGGAAAACTAAGAATCTTTCTGGACAACCTCACGGCATGGTCCAAATCTCGCGATTCCAAAATATCAAGAGGCTCTCCCCATCGCATAAATGATTCGTACCAGAAAATCCCCATGAATGATCCAGATCACTCCCTAGATAATGAAGATCTAAACTTCAATATCTCGGAATATGCTTGGAACCGACTGGGATTTCATGATTTCAGAAGGTTTGAATACAAATCGGTTTTGCTAGGGTTTTATTGTGGCAACGTTTCGCCCTGGCCTGAAGAAGCTCTTGTGTCAAGGGCGAAACGTTGCCACAATAAAACCCTAGCAAAACCGATTTGTATTCAAACCTTCTAAAATCAACATCTAAACTTATCTACGTCCGTGAAGTAACTGTGGAGATTATGATCTTACAAGATGTATTCATATGAACAGGATGTTAACGTCCCAGATCTTACTCCGTACCCTACTGCTTGATCCTACGATTTATCACTTCATGTGTTACTCCGCTGGACGCACTGCTCCGCCATGATCTACACTGGCCATTTGAGTAAAGAACTTAAAGTATTTGCCAGGCAGTTGAAACCTAACTCGGTGTGCTATAACCCGATGAAAACCTCACTGGATTGTTTAAGTGAATCGTTGCATTTGATGTCTGTTTGTTTTACATTCACCAGCCTCGATGAACTGAACGCTCGTTTGATTGTTCGATTCCCTTACCCCTCGCTTGAACTTCGCATTCGCTGTTTGTATAAACCAGTTTGTAGGACTTGATCATGTTGGTGACTGCCGAATAAACATGTTTGTCCGACGTTTACTCGTTCTCTTTGCGTCGCGCGTTCGGGACTACCACTCAACTGACTTGCGGGTGATTGCGTGGGCTCAGCGTGACATTCGTCCGTCGTGATCAATCCGGTGCCGCTTTCTATCACATTGAGTTGCTTACAGCATGCGCTTGCCTATAGAGGAATTAGGTTACATTGCCCGTATTCCAACACCGGAACTTCGTGACATCAGTGTGTGCCCAAAATATCTACTGGTTCCAGCCAACACCTTCATAGGGGATTTCTTGAATTTCATTCAACCCCCCAGGACCACACTAATGTACAAACCTATAATATGCTGGAACACGAGTCGACGGTAAATTAGTACCCTTATCACGTCTACTAATGAACCGAAATTTAGTTAATTAAGGACCGGTTGGTAAATTACGTCAGTGATAGTACTCCTGACAACACGTGTTAATGGCTCTTGTTTTTTCCTTCTCTGCTTTCAATTTCTTAGTAATTCGTACTATCAGCGGTGTGCGTTAAGTTTGAGCATTCGCCCTTCACGGGTACATTAAGCAGTCTTAATTTGCCAAGGCTTGGAAAACTGACAAGTAAAAGGTAGAACGAATCCTATACCCAGAGCAACCTATGGCCAATTACTCAAGTACGACCATACCGTAACAGAGGCTGGAGATGGGAGTACCAGCTCCAGTACAGGTGATCACTTGGCAAGCAGTTGTTAACCGAGTGGAAATTATAAAACCACGTATAGTTCTGGTGTGTTCTCTCACCCACACCACCCGCCACGAATAATCGGTAATGAAGATACCGTTGTTAAGCAACAGTAAATCTCTGAAATCGCATCAACCGAAGAACATGGCATTCACAGAGCTGTGCTTTTCTATAATCCAACTACCGCTAGAGCGATACCGGTATTTTGGATTGATGTGACGCATAAGCCCCATACACTGTACCCCGTGCAAGCGCCCAGAAACGAGTAATCGTGAAGAAAGTCCAGTCATATACATTCACAATGAAAAAGATGTTTGCGACGAAGAATGGCCGGATAGGTTCGAAACGTGCGCCGAAAAAGCGATCAAAACAGAATGGTCAAAACTTCATTAAAAAACAACGATCCGACTTATGGACAACATGAAGCGGTTAAAAGCAACAATGCGGGTAACATCAAATAGACCAAATGTCTGTGCGAGGTCTTTAACACTCAGTAAACAAGTAAAGTGATTTTTCACGGTCCCCAGATAAGTGCAACGTGGACCATGATCTCATTTAGGACACACAATATGACCGTTTTAGGTCAAATAACCAACAGAACGATGGCCATCCGTTACCGTTGGTTCAGCTGGCGTTCCTCTGTTGTGTCTATTTCTCCTTTCCCGTGTATTGTGCGGCACAATAGTTGAGGTGTTTCTCACCTCTAGCTAACGTGTAGAATGATAACACTGCGTTGTGGATTACAGCGTTAGACAAATATTGTTACTGTACTGAATGGTAATGTGCGACAGCGGTAAATCGAAAGAGTAAACCAGAATCAAAGAACTGCAATGAAGTGGGGAAAATTGCACGTACCAGCCATTGTCGTGCCTCCAAGATGGCATTAAAACCGGCTTTGGTCCCTTGTTCGATTAGCACAAGAAAGCTGGACGTTCGGTCCCACATGTTAGACAACATTTGACGTCGTGCTCTGACTCCTGGAAGTTCAAACAGGGTGTAGGCGCTGACGACTAGGTCGTAGGATCGCTACGATGAAGAAGAATGATGGCAACGTAAGGAGTAGGCAACAGGCCGTGGGCTGGGATAAGAACAAACCACAAGAGTGCAGAAAGATAAAAAAAGTAGGCGTGTATGTGCTGATCGGATTACTTAATGGGATGCCCCAATCCCAAAGATGATGTGTGTGTGTCGAAGTGGGCAGAAACCAGCCACTGAGAAGCGTTCCAATAAACGTGCAAGTGCTTGGTACGCAGAAAGAACGATCTATAGAACAAAAGTACAGACAGAAATGCAATGTCGCCAAAGATTCTATGAGTTCGCGCATTTTCACACTGATGTATCATCCAATAATGCATAGAGATTGTAGGTAACTGTTTATGCATTGTGTAGTCGGATGGTCTGGTGATTATAGAGATAAATGGGGAGGGCAGAGCAATTAGGGTGCAACAGAAAGTTACAACGTTTCTTACAATGTTTCTTGCACCCAGTATGTGGTCTGTAGGGGATAACTAAGATGGGACGTCAACTATCCCGCATTGTGGATCGGTGATAAAAGTGGTGGTGGAGATTTCTCAAGCTCAAGATTTTCAAGAACCGGATGGAACATGTCACCCTTATTTGTAATCGAGTGAACAGGGGGCGAACAGAACAGCCGCTTCTTTTTCACCACAAGTCGTAACCTACAACATTTAGCTACCAGAAAATCCGGGGATGTGCAACAAGACAAAGAAGCAGTCTCCGGAGCCGCGCAGAAAGCGTAAATAGTAGCGGTTCCAGGAAATATCGATCCGTGACGATCTGAAAGCAGCAAAGCTTACAGACAACAAAAAAGGACACGGTCGGCAAAGAAGTGCAAATAGCTTAAAGGTGAAAAGGACAAAAAGCGGACGGTAATTAAATTTCGTATTGGGGGTAGGTCGTATCCCCCGGGTTAGGTTAGCCCTATCGGGTAGGGCTTTTTTATGGGAAGGGGAGTCACTGCAATATGCTGAGATATATGACCGTTACTGACGTCGATCTTGAGCCATGACTACAACGGTCCACAAGCAGCGACAGTCCGCATCTCTGGGACCCCAAACAGGAAGTCGAGAACAAGCGACAGATTGTAGGCTTTCCTCCAGCAACCGCGAACAAACCACGATGCGGAAGGCGTGGAACAGGCATGCACAATACGTGTCTAAGCCACCGCGGTTGACGCAGAGAGACGAGCGCCTCGAGCAACTGGTTAACTCCACTTAAGACACGCAGTCTAACTACCACATTAGTTACGTGGTGCAGCCACCACACACGCGCAATGGAAAGAAAGCAACGGTGTTCATAGACAGACAACCGGCGCAGATCAATGGTACGAAAAGACCAGGTCTCTTAATCATACAACAGTATGGGGTGGACAATCGCACAATTAACCCGCCCTTTGATGAAGAAACGGATGTCAATGCGGTGTCACAAGTGCCTCAGTCTGGAGAAAGCGAGATGAAGTCTTGAGATTCACACTGAAATCGCGCCTACAACAGCCCCACCAGCAGTGATGCAGTTTCCCAGGTAGACAAAACCGCACAATCTACAGTATCTCACCACCAGGTGTGAGTGCAGGTACGGGCATCTACCAGTCTTGAAAGAGCTTTGCGCTTTGACGCTTCAATTGCCAGCAGGACGACTTGGGAGGAGCTCAACGTCAGCGATCAACGAATCCTCCAGAGCATTTTTGCGCACATTCTTAGTGGTACAACTGAGAAGGAATGGAGCGATTGGACATTCTTGTCAGGCCCCACTGGTGACAAATAAGGAAGGCGAAAGCTTGCCATAAGCCCTAACTCTACCCAAAAGCAGGTTATACAAAGCACAAAATATGGAAATGAACTTCGCAGGGATGCCATTCTACAACAGACAATGCCACAATGCAGTCCCGTAGACAGAATCGAAGGTAGCGCAGATATCCAGAAACACAACTGTTGGATTGTGATGTACATGACGGAGCTCGAGGATCTTGGAGAGGATAAATACTTGCTAGATGCAACTGGGACCAGGGATGAATCCAGTCTATTCTTCCTGCTGTAGCATCCACGCATTAGGGACAGCCCGTGAAGTATGATGGACACCAGAAGCTTGTAGGCGATGGGAACCGAACGTATACCTCTGTAGTTAGAGCACAATATGAGTAAGCGCTTCCTGTAGATGGTGACAATCTACTCATGTCAAGACTATGGAACCTTCTCTGTTGACCCGTTCTGGGTTCAAAAGGGTGTTATCGGACCAGGGAATAGCCAACATTTTTAAATATAGCTGGCGGTAAACCATCAGGGTCGGGTGCTTCATAAAGATTCAAGTGGCGGAATTTCTGCCAGATTTGCTGGAGAAATGGAGGAACTGTGGAGATTGACCACAAAACAGCTGCAGCTGGCGACCAGCTGCATCCGGAATACGTATCAACTGTCGATGAAAGTTAATGACTAGTGGATCATCATCTTCGCAGGTTGTTTCCACTAAACCAGATCGGAAACTTTCGGTGACTCAGATGAGATGGAAAAATTTTATGGCATTACCAGAGAGACTTACAAGTTCTAGTAAGTTTACACAACCAGTTTACATCATCAGTAAGTTTACATCATCAGTCTTCAAAGTGCTTTTGCAAACTTCTGAGCCATTCTCGATCCACGGCTAGGCGTTCTTCATTACAGCTGGCGTTTGCCGTGCCAGATCGGCGTCTGTCCATCGGCGACAAAGTGATGGTGACACCGTTTTCTGTGGGTGACGGGCAGCTCCACAACTGTCATAAATGATGAAAACCGAGGTATGGCTGATGCGCACCAACTGTGCATTCAGATAATCCACAGAATCAGAGCCAAGTAGCCTTGACGGAGGCCTTGCACATCGTAGAATCTCGTAGATTTTCGACGTCGGTCGGTAGTGCATATACCTGGGTGATTATCCGAAATGCATGCATACCTTAGCACGAGCAAATGCTTGATCGAAGTCCACATAAGCTGACCAGTCCGAACGGCAGTCTGTTATGCTTCCGCTCCATCTGCAGCTTATCGCGATGTGGTCAAGCTGGGACCACTCTAGCGTTTGAGAAGGTGGCCGCCAGGTAGCAGTCTGGCTCAGCGAGTGTTGAAAACTGGGTGCTCGGAAGAAACAGGTAATGATCAGAACAGGGAGTCAGTATTTTGTCCCTATAGTCTGATGGCACTTGCTACCTGACAGCCGACCTACTCGTGCGCTAAGATATCTGGCAAGAATGATGACATCTGACCTATTGGAAGAACGTAAAATGTCAAATGGTTATTGCTAAAAGTAAACCTTGACTGCATCTGGGCTGCAATCTGTAGGAGCGTACGGACAGACAACCAAAAGAGCATGCTTAAAATGCTAACTAGTACGATACCACAAAGGTAAGCACAAATTGGTACCCAAGGTATATCAGCGGATTCACGAGCTCTGCAGGCCAACGCAGTGCATCAAGGTCCGGTCAGAAGGTACTAACGATAACATAAAGACAGGGAACAAACAATGGAAAAAACAAGAAAAAGCTCATTTGGAAGGAAGAAGTGCCGAAGTCGTGGAATGGAAAGACTGGGAATCAGAAGCAAGGCGACACAGCCACCAAATTGGAGAGACTGAGGATGTTAAGTGGTTGGGGAGCATCGCTTCCGTACTGCATCGATACCTCAGATTTTGTAGGAGTGATGTTGTGCCCCCGTCCGCTCAATCCACGACGAAATCAGAACACCAAAGACCAGCCAGGACCAAGAGTTCTTTTGCATGAGGGCATAGCAGAATAAATAGGTTGAACGCAGCTAGTAAACACAACAACATCGAAGATGCAAATGAATAGCAATCAACACAACTCGAAACGGGTCAAGTCTAGGGTTCAACTTGCTTCTGACCCCACACAGATGCGCATTGGACCTCTGTTTGAGTTCCATCTCCAATCGTAGACCGATCAAATCTTACACCACAGTTCTCGGCTTGAACGCTGGCTGCAAGCCGGTTCCGCTTAACAGCACCCTCGTGAAAATTGACGTATGACTTCCGTCTTGGGTTTAGTTACATTATGATGATGGGTCTCATTACCCGATGAGAGCAGGGTCTTTGGTGCATTATCGGCACTTCTGATGCAGTCGTGCAAGGTGCATCAGAAGCGTTCTGTGTACTGGTTGGCAGCATATCGAGACTGCCCACCAGGATAATCAGCGGTAGCGGCCGAGTGCTTGTGCTTATCGATATGCTAGCAGCCGAAGGTGATTAGCATGTCTGGTCCAAATGAGGTCCCCCGTTTTAACATTAATAGGACATGACAAAATCTGCTTTGGATCAGGTCTGTCGCCCATCGTGATCTTTTCATGTATCTGTCGATGACGAAAACTTGCTATCCTGTATAGAATCGGCGTGCGTGTCCTATTTCGTTGATTGTAGTAGTCCTCCTTTTTTAGGTCTCTTTCTTAAGAGGTATCGTGTTTCGGAAACAATAACGCGTTCATTGTGTGAAGCTCTCGTCCCATTAACACTTCTGCGGGTGATGCCTGATTGGGGAAATAGGAATTCGGTGTCGTCCTGTATATAAGTAGTATGCAGCTGATATCTCCTGTGTGGTTCCCTCTCCCCTCATTTTCAGCAAGCGTTTCTTAAAGGTATCGAAAACTCGTTCTGCCTGTCCGTTAGATTGTCGATAGAACGGTGGCGAGCGCACACGCGTAGTGTCATTCTGAGCGTAGTACTCGGCAAAACAGGAAGAAGTGAGCTGTGACCCGTTGCCTGTGACTAGCATTTATGGCACTCCATTTGGCTGAAAGCTTCCAAAGTACGTTGATAGTTGCGCCACTGGTCACATGCTCCATGCAGAATACCTCGGGTCGTTTACTGAAAGCATCAACAAGGACAAAATACTGCTGCCCATTCATCGGACCACAGAAATCCGCATGCACACGCTTCCACGGCTTCGTTGTCAAAGGCCAGGAGGCTAATTCGGCTTCTCTGGGCGCCTTACTGGCAAGTGCACATCTCTAACATGACTCTGCCATCTGTTC